ATCATCCAGGAGGTTATAGATCTGTATCCCTACTTAAAACAGAAGCTCTGTTTGTTTGTACCAGGAGCACATGCACTGTGAGCTTCAGAGGACAAGAACAAAATGAGATCTTCAGCAATGTACTTCAAAAAACTCAGCAGATAATGGTCAGGCAATAGAGCCAAATGTAAATTTTAAACTGTAGTAATCTGTGTTATCATATACAATTCACTAATACTCTTAAGGTTGTTTTTTGTACTGCTCTAGCTAACTGCAGATATAGTTTGTAGATCAACTGAAACACAACAGACCCTTCTATCACAATCACTTATCACAAAAATCTTTATTTTATTATTATCATGCATTTGGGGCCTACAGTGATGCTGGAGAGGACTTCGTCAGGGACTCTAGTAATCAGGACAATGGGTAATGGGTTTAAACTTAAACAGGGGAGATTTAGGTTAAATCTAAAGAAGAAATGCTTCCCTGTGAGGGTGGTGAGGCACTGGCACAGGGTGCCCAGAGAAGCTGTGGCTGCCCCATCCCTGGCAGTGTTCAAGGCCAGGTTGGGCGGGGTTTGGAGCAACCTGGTCTAGTGGAAAGCATCCACTAGAAGGGTTGGAACCATGTGATCTTAAGGTCCCTTCCAACCCATCCAATTCTATGATTCTATGGTCACACCTTTACATAAAGGTAGCACATGCTTCAGAGCACCTAATACAGTACAGCAACTATCAAAACCACACAGCAACAAGATTCTGAAAACTACTTTGCTACACTTCTACATTTTGCTACACTTCTAAGTCTTCCTTCACACATGTGCATACACATAATAGACCAAAAGAAAACAGATGCATATCCTGTAATCATAACAGTGTATATACCTTGGAACTTGTCCTTGCAGCGTGTCTGTCCACTTGAAGTTCTGAATATATCTCAACTTGCATTCTTGGGAAGAGTCATCCAGTGAAAGGATAAAACCTGTAGGATTAAAAAAATGTACCAACAGGCAATGTCAAGGTAAGAAACAGAAACAAGTAATACAGGAATAGGGATCAATGAGAACACAGATATAGGTAAAACAGTGTTTCTTGCTGTACTGCTCAAAAACCTGTTACTTGCTGAGGCTTTTATTCCTCAGTATCTTCAGAACAAGATGTGCAAAAAACCCTAACTAGCTACAAGAAACTCCTTGCCCAGCAGGTCTCCAACTCAACACTGTGAGTCCTGACTGCTCAAGGCAAACCTTGCAGGTGTCTGCATGTCCTCTATGGTAACTAGTTGGGAGTTGGGCTGACCCAGGTACAGGATGACTGAGACTGCTCAAGGTGAGTAAGTGACTCCCTGACACCATAGTGGCTATTGGGAAATTCCAGGAAGAGCTGCCTGGTCAACAGGAAAAGGGCTTACGACTTACCTACTCATTATTCTTTTTTGTCTCCAGGGCTACAGGAAATTAGTCCTTTACATCCAGCAGCTCAGAAAGCAGCAGTCGGTGGACTGAAGTTTATGCCATCAGATGTTCAAATCCTAACACATGCAGGCCCAAGGAATTTTTCAGGGAAGAGTAAGTCTGGCCTTGATCTGATCAGGTCTTACAGACCCCAAGAACTCAAGACTTGCAACAGCAGCTATTTGAGCTATAGCTCTAGGTGCTGACACATTTATAAACTCAGAAAATACTTGCTCCTTTCACATGCAGCAGGTTTTAGCGATCAAGAGTGATGCTTTCCTAAAGAAACTCTCCAAATCTTCTCTGCAGCAACATGGACTGCTATTTTACCTTTATGTCACACTGTTTTACATCATCCCAGTGGCTGAGGGAACTAAACCAACATGAGCTACTTCACTTCCCACAGACTGAAGGATCACAGTTTCCATGAATCAGCTGATTCCTGACAACTCAGTCCTAAAAATCTTGCCTGAGCACCTGACTGCTAAGAGAGAGTTATCAAAATACTGGCAGGAGGAAGGTCTCGAGGGAATGCATCATCATAGGTGATCATCTACTGATACTGTAGCTACTGTTCTAACGAGCACCTATATATACACCTAAGATAAGCAGCAGAAGCTCACAACAAGTCTATTATCCAGCATAGACAAACCAGAAGTTTACATCAAAGAGTGAAGTTTACATCAAAGAGTGACTCCTAAATATTTTCTCCTCCAGCAGGAAGCACAAAGAGGTTAAAAGCAAGAGGATAGAACTGCCAACACTTAGTACTGGCAGGGTCACAAAGAACACTGGAACTCACAGAAAGTACCCATGACTGGTATCAAGCTTACGGACCCATGAAGATACTCTCCTTCCTGAGAAGTGCAAAGCTTCTTTATGGAAGATTAGCACAATACACATTCTGAGAAGTGTCATTAAACTCAAACTCTACACCTCTTGATGTATTAGCAGTATTGCTAATTAATGTTCCTACCTTGCAAGAGTGAGAAGTACAGGTCAGTTGCATTCTTCATCATCTCTGGATTACAACTTGAGTCTGTGAACAGCTCCAACAGTCGGGATCGAGATAACCTCAGATCACTATATGGAGGGTAAGAAACACAATACAAAGATCTCTAAGAAATTCTACCCAAAAATGTACTATTAAGAATGTACCTATCCATGTATACCACCACCTTCTTGGACAGACAGCAATGGATAATCAGTACTTATTATTAATCTAAAGTAAAATAACTATGCCTTTATCTACTGAGATCTCGGGTGCAGGGGAAGGGAAGTAACAAGCAGAAACATTCTTCAACATTAGAATGGGATGACCATCTGAAGAGATAAGCACAGATCTACCAAATAAGCTGAGATCTCTTTTCATTCTATTCGTATCTACAATAGAACATTCATGCCTTATTCACTTATAGAAATGACTTTAAGTAACGTTTTGCAGAAGAATGCACAGTCATCAGAAAGACAATGAAATGTTCACTCTTTCGCCTCCGCATTATTATAATAGGCCTTGCCACACACTCAGAGACTTGAAAACTGGATAATTCATTCTTTGTAACCAAACACTTGTCTCACAGCCTACACATTTCTCATCATCTTCAGAACAAAAATTGAAGAGTAACCATTACTTTTAAGAATGCCCCCCAAACTGAGAGACAGCATGAAGTTAACCACAAGCACACTTACTTGCAAACCTTTGCTGCAGCTGGAGTGGTGGCTACCCCATAAAAATTAAATGAAACAGGAGCTGTAGCCTTCAGAGGGTTGCGGTGAAACCAGTGGGTCATTTTCCTTCTGTTGTGTTGTTTGATGCCAAATCTAAAGTGCGGATAGAAATGAACAAGAACAGCTGAGATGCTGTAATGATATGTAATATGCCATGCTCCTTGGCTCACAAAAATATATTCCAAATGTAAACAGTAATAAAAGAAAATAATTTGAAAAGTTGTATATAATCACACAGAAGCAATTATATTTATCTTTCCCATTAGAAACACTGAGTTTCCATATACCTTGTCTGCATCATCCATGTGCTTAATTCCAGAATGTCACTCCCTTGAAATTCCCTCTTCGTTTTCTGAGGTAACTATTTTAAGTTGGGCAAAAAGCTGTAAACTCCTTTACTCTGTATTACTGCAAACTTTCCTACTTCCCCCCCCCCCCCCCCCCCCGCATTTGTTGCCTCCTGCATAAGGCTGAATATTTCCCATATAATTTCCATTCACTGAGATAATTCTGTTGTCTCTGATCAATCCATTAGTAGCCTTACTGATACGATTAGTAGCCTTATTGGCACCACTGGTATTGATGAAAGTGCAATTACATGCTAACCCTTGCTGTAAACATGGATGCACTGACATACATGTAACAGACCTAGAAGTTTGACAGAGTACAGCTAAAACACACCATCTTTTTATTTTTCACCTCGATGTCAGCAAACACACAACATCAGCATTCCTATGAGCTTTCAACGGCGGGAGGATGTCAGAGGATAATGGGTGCACATTGAGGTCCGTGCTGGATAGACAGAGAAACTTCACCGTGAGGACAGCGAAACCGAAGAACAACCTGCCCAAAGAGCTGGTGTGGTCTCTCCATTCTCAAGGGCTTTGACGACCTCATGGGATAAGGCCCTGACCTCAGAGGTGATGCTCCTCCGAGCAGGACCGTGGACCACAGACCCCGTGCTCCCTCCATCACCTCACGATCCTCCCCGAATCTTCCTCCATCGCTACCAAACGCTTCGTAGCTCTGCTAACAAAACCGAGCCAAGCAGCGACCTCCTCCCACCGGCCGGGTGTTCCTGACCCGGCAGGTGACTCCCTTACCGTACCGGCGCCCCTCACCACATCCCCACACACCTGCGCAGCGGCCTGCAGAGCGGAGCGGTGCCGCCACACTGACAGGAGCTCCTCCGTGTCCAACCCGCTTCAGCCGCACGCCGCGGGCCAGCGGCACACACTGACCGAGCCCGCCCGGCCCCCCGAGCCCCGACCAGGCACCGAGACCTCAGCGACGGGCCAGCCGCCACCTCCGGCCCTGCCCGGCGTCACGCACCCGCCGCAGGCAGCGCTAGCACACAGCCGATGGCATCGTCCCGGCCCGACCGCACCGATCTTGCCGGTTACCCCCACTCCTAGCCGGGTGTCCCCGGTTCACCGCCGTCAGCCCCGCGGCGGGGTCTGACCCGGGACAGCCGACAGAGGCGCAGCCAGGCCCCACAGCCCCGGTAGGGTCCCCTCAGCACCACAGACAGAGGCGGAAGCTGCAGCGACACCCTCCCGAACGGGTGACCTGCCTGCAGCGCTGCTTACCGGGGAGAAGGGAGCAGGACCCCCGCGGCGGCACGGCCGGGAGCGGCGGAGAGCTCACGGGAGCAGCGAGGCGGTTCTCGTCCGGTCCCCGCCGCCGGGCCTCAGCTGAGGGCGGGCTCCCTGCGGAGGAGCCATGTGACAGCCGCCATGACACGTACCGAGGCGGAAGCCGCTGCTCCTCGGTAGCGATGGCGCGGGCGGCGCAACCTCCCTCGCTGGGCGGCGCTCGCCGCGTTTGGTTGTCGCGGCGGCTGGGCAGGGCCGGGCCGGGCTGGGCTGGGCAGGGCCGCCGGCGGGCGCGGGGCTGGCGGGAGCGGCTGCCCGGCGCGGTGCCCCGGCCCGGGGTGAGCATGGTGCCCTAGTGCTGGGGCTATGTCGGAGGCGGCCCGGAGCCTCCTGCAGCGCTGGGGCGCCAGCTTCAGGAAGGGCACAGACTTCGACTCCTGGGGGCAGCTGGTGGAGGCGATCGACGAGTACCAGATGTGAGTGAGGGACGGGCGGATCCCGCTGCTGCCCCGGCGGGCCTCGGGCGAGGGGACGGGGAACGGGAGCGGCCCAAGGGCGGGAGAGGACGAGGCAGAGCGGGGGGGTCCGCCGGGCCTAGGCCGCGGCCCCCTCACCCCTCGGGCCGGGCCGCTGGTCCCCCGCCGTGCTGAGGGCCGCGGGTCGGGCGTCCCCTGAGGCGAGGCGGGGCGGGAGCAGGGGGTATCGCCCGAACCCACCCGGGAGCCGCCCCGGCGGTCGGTGGTGAGTGCTCGGCTGGGCGCTGCCCCCGGGCCGGGGAACGAGGCGGTAGCAGCCCTTCCTTGTGCGAGGGTTAGGGTTAGCGTTGGGCTGTTAGTTAGGGCCGGTGGTAGGCCGTGGGGCTGGTTGGTGGAGCCCCAAGGCGACGGGTGCCCGGGTTCCCGCGATGTCCCGTGGCCCTGTACCCCAGGCACCATGCTGGTGGGGAAGGGGGGTGCCCGGCTGTGGCAGATGGGCTGCTGAAGCATCAGCCTTACCCCCCAAAACGCCAAAGAACTCACCAGTGTGAAAACTGGTCCACTGCATACTGTGTGTTCCACCCCTGAGGAAACCAGGGTGGGAGAGTGGGGATCTGGGCAGCCCCTGTTAGACTGGCTTGTGCTGAGTGGCACCGCACTATCCATGAATCCTTTGGTATTGATGGAGTATGGGCACTGTAGGGTTCATGGTATCCTTAGAAACACACCTGGTAGCTTCAGTCAAATGCTGCCCTCTACTACAGTGTTGACAAGGAAGATGGAAGTTACTCCCTTGTGAAGGGAGTATTGCAGGCAAAGTTTCTTATGGTGAACTTTCTGGAAGAATTCTAGAGGGTTTGCGCTTATTCCCCAAGAGAGTTATCTGAAGAGACATGCTCGCCCTTCTAGCACTGTTCAGGGCTATTCAAGTTATGGGCTGGGCTGTGACCACACTGGCTACCGGTTCAGTTGCCATTCAGGGTAGCTAGGCTGCTGGCTGTGTACAGCATAGTCATGAGGTGCTATAATCTCACCATTTCATTCACTCACCAGACAGGATGATGCAAGTTCAGTTATTTGCAGTTTGCTGATGGTCTTTAGAGTAGGGCAAGCTGTTACTACAAACCTTGGCACGGGGATGAAAAGTAACTCTCTTCCAGATCTGTATCTTGGAAGAAAAGAAAACTAATTATAGGAAAGTAAAGGAAGATATTTTTATGTGGACAGCTGCGAGGAGTCCAGTAGGACCCTAATGCAGATCTTAAGTTTAAAACTTTAATCCTAAATATCAAACTGTCTTGGCAGTCTCAGCAGTCAGTTTCATGTCATAATGTTTCTTCAGAATGAAAGCTCTTCAGACTTCTCATTCTGAGCTCACTTCTTTGAGAATTAAAGTCCCTAAATGTCTGCAGACAGTCCAGTTTGAGAGTTGAAGTATAACTTTTCCTTCCTCCCAGCATTACTGGTGTCTGGTGAGAATTAAGGGGATCCCCGTGCTCTTGCTGTATTCTGACTTTGGAGCAGTGTGATGTCTTTGTAAGAGAGCTCCTTTTGGGTAGTAGTATTGTAAGCTGCTCTTACAAGCCTTGTCAGTGAGTTTCTGCTGAATAGTCAGTAGATGAACTCTGTGGTTGCAGGAGGGAGAAGATCAAAGGATTACAGGGAGATATTTCATAGGGAGGAGCAGAACCTTTTCAGTGTGCATATCTGCGTCTTGTAGATACACCAGGTAAAATCAATAACAACTTTAAAGTGGACATTGCAAATAGGAAGCACAGGGCAAGATACCTGTACCTCTGGAGAGACATAACACTATGGCTTGATGCTGTTGTCCCTGAGATGGGAGGCACAAGCATGTTGCTGGTACTGAAGAGGTCTGTTCTGATCAGCACGAGGGGGCTGGGGAGAAGCTGCTTGCTGACACAGAAAGGTTTTCCTGAATCTCTGCTAGTTCATTCCATGGACTTAATGGCTGTTGATGTAAAATGCTATTATTTGCCTCCTGTGTCCAGGGGACCTGCACCTCCTCAGGTCTTTATGTTGCTCCTGAAAGTGCAGGAAGCTTGGTGCAAGGATTGGCCCTTGTTCATTCAGGTGCTTGCTTGCACAGGAGCACACCAAGCACGCCAGCAATGCTTCCCTGTTGAATGTCCCCATCTATCGAACCTGGTCTGATCCAGCTTTGAACAAGGTTCAAGTGGGATGCCAAATGCGCATGTGGATTAGTGTGGGTTTTCTTTGCATTAGTGACAAATGGAAAGTGAGTTGTGTTGCTGATTCTTGTGGAAAAGTTAATACCATGATGCTGCCTGTTGCAGGTGGCATGTTGCTGCTATGGTGATGTGTTTTCTTAAGTTGTTACTTTTAAATAACCTTTCTGTGTGTCCTGTATATCATATGGCAGGGTGGTAGGGACTGAGTGTCCATTTGTGTTCCAGCATGTTTGTGCATTTTGTCGTAGCCACCACTGTTTCCCCCTTTATGAAGGGAGACAGTGCCACTGAATTGTCCTGTTTGATTGTGTTTCACTGGTGCTACAGTGGCCTCAATCCTTGTGGCTTTTTAAGAGAGCTTACTTTGAGGAAAAGCAAAGAAATAATCGAGTTCTGATTTTTGCTTCTGGCAGGCTTTGCTGATAACCTGTTTTGGTGGATACGTTTTACGCAGGCAAGATAAAAAATAACCTGGGCTGATGCCCACTGCAGTGGTGGCAAGAAGCTGAATCCCTTTAACAGTGCAAACTTGGGAGGTTCCGAACAGAAGTGTACTGTGATGCCCCAGTACTGCTGTTATCCCTGGGTTTGCCTCCCTCTCTGCTTTGAAAAGGATAATGATTTGCAGGGAATGGCAACAGTTGCCCAGAGGTTTTGCTTGTTTAATATTCTCCTTCCTCCCCAGTCAGAAACTGTAACTCTTCCCATAGCTTCCTTTTGCTCTCTGGAGCTGTTTGCTTACTGTTACTTTCCAAACCTCTTGGTGATCCTGTCTCTGTGGTGAGCAGGGGTGGGGGCTCTGCTCCACATGTGATGCTGACAAGCGCAAATGTGAGCTGATACACCCCGGCCTGGCCCTGCGCCTGGCTCTCAACAGCCATCGCCTCCTGGAGCCACACTGGCCTCAAACACCCCCTGAGAAGTGGGTGTGGGCTTGTACCACAGTGGGTCCCCACAGGGGTTATAGGTGGCTGTTATAAAGTAAAGCGATGGGCAGAGGAAAAGGGTCAGTGCTTTCAAAGGGGCTGTTGGCTAGAAGGACCTTCTTACCTGTTCTTTCTTTACGATACTTCATCAGGGACTGTAGTGATAGGATAAGGGGTAATGGATTTAAATTTAAACAAGGGAAGTTCAGGTTAGATATAAGGAGGAAGTTAATTACTGTGAGGGTGGTGAGGCGCTGGCACAGGTTGCCCAGAGAGGTGGTAAATGCTCCATCCCTGGCAAGTGTTCAAGGCCAGGCTGGGCAGAGTCTTGGGTGACATGGTTTAGTGTGAGGTGTCCCTGCCCATGGCAGGGGGTTGGAACTGGATGATCTTAAGGTCCTTTCCAAACCAAACCATTCTATGATTTTCTGCCTAATATAGTTGCATACTTTGTCCATCTTCTGGGGATTTTTTAGTTTGGCCTACTATGGTTATAGGCACCTTTGTATAAAAGAAAACCCCAAATCCCCCAAAAAAACAAAACAATAACAAAAAACAACCACAAAAGAAACAAAAAAAAAAAAAAAAGAAGCCACACCAAGAACTATTTGGAGCAGCAGACTGTGGACCTTTTGGCTGACACGTTTCCTGGAGACTGGGGTGTGTGTGTTTGTGTTGTGTTCCCACTCTACAACTTTCTTTCCCCCCCATCCAGATTAGCAAGGCATCTACAGAAGGAGGCACAGTCTCAGCACAACAACTCGGAATTCACAGAAGATCAAAAGGTGAGTATTTGCGCAGTCAAGGAGCTTGATGGTGGTGTGTATTCCGGTGTTTTAGTGCACAGACAAGAACCTTATGAGACCTTCTTTCCTCCCTCAGTATATGCAAACAGAATCTGAGCCCAGCATGGCTAAAACAGTTGCTGTCATTAGATGTGGCAGATGCTCTGCTGCATAATATTGAGTGTCATGTGTGCTGGCCAGAGCCCTTCATAACCTGGGTGTTTCTTTTTTGGGTGACCTTTTGATAACTTGCTTATACTACGTTAGCACGATTTATGGTGTGAAGTCTGAACATGAAATGTCTGGAACTGCAGACATGATGGGTGTGTGAGGAGGATGTTCACTTAACATGTAACACCTGATGGGAAAGGGTCTTGGCAGAACAGTGCTTAGCAGTCTCTTAGAATGTGATTTGTTTATAATCCTTCAAAATACTGAAATTACTTTACTCCTTCCTCCCTGCCTTCAATTTAAAAGGCTGTTTCTTGTCTTAACATCATATTCATGCAATTCTGTGACAGGATTTTAAGTGGAAAATGCTAGCTGAAGTTTCACATACTTCAGAATTTCAGCAAAATAAAATCTGGTGAGATGCAAGGTCCTGCTCATTTTTCGTGTCTTGTATAAAGGCATGTTTTTCTTGGGAATACCAATTTAGAGAATCCCTATATTTCCAGATTCCCAAGTCATAAAATCACTTGTTTGAGCAATAGCATTGCCTGAAAGTTGACATTTTCTAGCCCAGAATCTTGCCTATGGTAACAGGGTGCTAGAGTAATGGGATCTGTGTTTGGAAATGTTGGCCCTGAAAACAAGTCCTGGCTACAGGAATTGGAGATGAGCTTCATGTGTTTGAAGAAACTCATTGCAAAGAAATGTACATTTGTACAGAGTGTGGCAGAGGTTTGTAACTGTCTCCTCGAAATGTATCAGTGAGAAAAGCAAAGAGCCAATCTTCCATGTTCTTTTTGTCTTCTGCAAAGAGGAGGATCAGGCTTGTGATCATCCTAAACAGAGACATAATCTTGGAGAAGGATTTGATCCATCTTTCCCGAACTGAAGGCTTTAGAGCCTTGTTAATGTAGGACAGCTATTTGCTCTTTGATTGCTCTCCATCCCTTGCTGGTAGCTTCCTCCACCATTCTCAGCTATAGGCATCTTTACAGCATGCTTCCCCTCTGTGGATGCTTTTGAGAATATGGTTACTTCATGAAAGTGAAGCTATTAATCTCACAGCTGGAGGCATCATCTCCTGTGAATATGGGAACCAGAACCGCAAGGGCTTTGCTTCCAGATGTTCCCTGAATCCTGTGGAAAGGACCTTGGACCAGACTGTGGAAGTGAGTGAGGTCAGCCATGAGAGAAGGCCTGGGGGGCTCAGGAAGCAGAGATAACTGACCTCAGATGTTACATGCGCAACTGCGATCATGTCTTAAGGTGACAGTCTTCTGTAAATAAAAAATGAGTGGCTGTTTTGAATCCTTGCAGGGCTATATGCCTGGTTCTAAAGCTGATACAGAAGAGGTTGACGTTTCTATCTCGCGCTTGTTTGCAGATCAGTGAGGGGCTGATGCACTCAAACTTTGTGCCTGGTTATCTAATGGTGGTGCCTATTTCATTAGCCACATACACAGACAGATTACCCAACATTTTGTTGAGAGAATATTCTCTTTCTCTTCCTTGCCATGAGGAATTCTAGTCACCACAAAAAGTAAGAGTCTTGCTATTGCTTTGAAAGGAACACTGAAAATTCTTTACAGAAAAACCGTTTGGTTTGATATTAAGCTCCTTGCTGTTCTGGGTTTCCCTATTTCTGCAGGAGCTCAGCCATTCATTGCAAGTACCATTTACTTGACACATAGGAGTGAAGTTTAGCACACTTCTGGGTTTTCAAGCAGTTTGGTTAAATAGAAGTGTATCTTCTCTCACTACTCTTCAAAAACATCTATATACCAAACCCCAAAGCTACCTTTGCTCAACTAAGTTCCTACCACTGCGTGCTATTCCAGCATGCTCTTTCCTCCGGGTTCCTAATGTCTTGTCTTTCTGATGTTCTGTATGTCATGTAAGAGCCACCTCTTAATTTTAATCAGTGTGAAAGTGCGTGTCAACTTCAAGGTTTGCTTATCTGGTATTACTGACCAGGAGTGCCCACAGAATTCCATGGATTGGAAAAGGCAAAACTGTGAGGCTAAATGTTTTCCAGCTGCTTGATCTACCCTCGTTCCAGTCTGTGTAGATTTAGAGCTAGCTGTTGTCCAAAGGACCATACGTATGGCTGAGAATTACTGTGACACTGTCGTTGTTTCTTTTACTTGACATACTCTGTGGAGAAGATGGATTTTCAGCAGTGTACCAAGGGAAAACTACTACTTTACAGCTACAGAGAAAGGACAAGGCTAGGTTAAGATCCTCAGCCCCATCTGTCTGTATAAACTTTTACCATGTTTGGGTTTATTTCATGCGTCGCAGGTGGTGTTCCAGTGCAGATATGGCCACACCATAACTGATGGTATGTTACTTGCTTATGTAATCATACCATGTGTTAATCTAACAACACTGACAGATACCACCAATTTCTTTCCTAGGCATACTGTTGTTTATGGTAAGAATTCAGACTTCTAAATATTCATATCTTGCCTTTTTTGTTCTCTATCTGAAGGGTCTATTTTGAAACACTGTGTGCTGGTTCCCTTGGTAGAGCAGTCTCCGGAATTGCTGTTCATTTCTGGATTTTCATTTTCTTTTGTCTTATATCTATTGCTGGACATAATTCTGGAGTTCTAGTCCTTAGGGAAGGCTCTGTCTTGACTTGGATAACTGACAGTGCTGGAGTCATCCTTAGTGATTGTGAATTTTGTTGAAGAATTTCTCTGCAGATAAATATTGTAAAGAGCAAATGACTGTGTTTAAATGTAGTCAACCTTTCAGGAGGCTGTGCAACAGTTTCACTACCTTGAAGCTGCGTGTATGAGATACTCATACAATTACTGGTGGATTTACCCCAGTTTTACCCTCTGCATCCTGCTGTTGTTTTACCTTAATTGCCTAACAAAATCCCATCTTCATTCATGATCTACCACTGTGTTTTGCTACTTGAATTGTTCCAGTTAGGTTTGGCTATGTTTTCCACTTGCCTCCAGCTATAGTTAGTCTCACTCAGTTCTCTATGCAGTAAATTTGACCTTTCAAGCCCTCTTCTAACCACAGTTGTTGCTTCTCGTGTAAATGTTTTTGTGCTGGGCTGCATTTTCTTTGGTATTAGAAAACCATGCGCTGCTTTATGCAACGGTAACTCACTGAAATAAGAGCACTGTTGAACACTCTTAGCATGATTCATTAAACTACTGGTCTCCTAACAGCCTAGACCTCTCTTTAGAGCCAAACTCCACTCTGGCTCTGTATTTATGCAAACATCTTCGCTTGCATTACAGTTAGCACAGTCATTACTCACACGACTGCACTGAAGAAACCTTGACTGTGAGATCAACTGACTTTTTTCCCTTTCTAATCACAAGTTTACATAAAACTGAATCTTAACTATTGTAAACTAGCAAGGTTAATTATGACTTCAGTCTTTCTAATGAGATGCAGGATGTTTTCCCTGCTTCAAAAAGGAGCCTTTGCATGGGACAGTTGCAGCTGAAAATGATAGCAGTGTTCAGCTGCAGTTTTAACTTTTGGGCTGGGTGTGGTCCCTTAAAAAAATAGTTATGAATAATGCCTGCTGGGAGCTTGCCATGTTTCAATAGATTCCATATAAAACCTATTCTTTACTATTTTAAGACTTCCAAACTCTCTTCAATTAATCTGTTTCTAGAGACGTTATTGCCCTTCAGCCCCCAGGAGCCAGAGGACACACATTTTGTATTGCTGTTTGTCCTAATAGGAAGTACGTAGTTCAGGCAGTTTTAGGAATACACAGTTATGAATCTGCAGGATAGGGAGCAGGGGTGTTGGTGTGCTTATTGGTGAATTGGCAAAGGAGATAGGTGTTGAACAGTGCTTCTTGAGACCTCATTTATGGTGTGGGCTTAATGCTCTGCATGTGAGACCAGGAGGAGAAGAGCCACTTGAAAATCTGTTTCCATGTTCTGATTCCATGCTGGGGCACCCTGGGAGCTTGTGGGCCTCTGTGTGGTGCAGTCAGAGGGGGAATGGGCATGCTCTTTGCTCAGCAATCAACATCCAAACCATCCAAACAGCTGGGCTTTAGCAAATGTTAGAGCTGTAGTCAAACCTCTGAGATTTCCCCTCCCTCCCCAAGGGAACCGGTGGATTCCTTTCTTTTACCCATTACTTCACACCTTCCTCTTTAAGATTCTACCTTTGCTGCAAACATATCTTTCCAGATGTTCTCAAGTGTGAAAAGGAATTCCTTTTGTTACACTGCAGCTGATGAGACAGACAGTGCATTCTCACCCTACTGACTGAGAATCTGCTTCTGTAGTACTACCTGGTGTCCTCCCATCCAGCTTGAAGATACATGTAAATACACAACACCCATGTGTAGGTCTGAAAGTGTCAAAATGAATCCAGGACTGTACATACTCCTTTGTTTTTCAAAAGTCTGTGGGTTTCCAAGTTATGCTGGAGATCCAGCCATGAAATCTCTGTTAGGTAGCAGGATTTATTTTGGAGCGGTAGAAGTTCATTGACTGAACCTAGACTACAAAATGAACCTTCATGGAAATGGAGCTGTAGTGTGGGAGCTGTAGTATTTTTTACTCTGCCATGCTGCTTGCAAGTATACAGTCATGATGCTCTGTATTATGATTCCCAAACAGCACACTGTAGCTGCATGTGCTGCATCCCAGGAAGAGGAGAAACAGTATGTGCCCTGTGCTGGTAAGCATCACTCACTGGTTTGCTGGAAGGTGCTCAAAAGAACTAGTTTTCTTTAAGACCTCCATGCAATCAACAGCATATAAACTGTGAGGATGTAAAGTCTGGGCTAATGTCATGTTCCACCAGAGTGTTTAAGAGAAGAGGGGATACCAGCTGGGGAGAAATGGCTTTGAAAGCTGTGAGGAGCCTATGGTAGAGGTGAAAATCAGGTGTCTGAGGCTTTTACACACTTCAGCTGTTGGCTTTGCCCTTGAGGTATTGGCGTCTGACCTGCTCATCATTCAGCTCCTGAACTCTTTCAACTGGCATAAGGTGAACTGCAACTGGAGCCGCTTAGCTTTTAGCACAGCCTGTTGGAACTAGGGATGGCCGATTGAGAAGAGAGTTGTGACATCCCTGCAAGGAGAGTCAGGGCAGATGGCTGGGAAAGCAAGTCTCTTTTTTTATCTGCTGCTACAAACCTCTTGGAGCCCTAAAATGTAACCCTCTTTTAAAGGGATGTTTTGCCTTTTGGCTGGTATCTCACAACGTGCCAGATGCCTGTACTCTTGTATTCTTTGATGCTAGAGTTGGGCTCTAGGAAATCTTCCCTCCCCTTTGCATCCAGCTTGGGGGGGGGGAGCTGGTTTTATACTGCCTGATTTAAAAGGCGAGAATGAGTTACAGGTGTGTATTTCAACTTTAATCTTCCTTCTGGGGGGAAAACTCATTTTGGAAATAAGCTGCTTTTCTTTCTAGCTGCATTGTTGCTGTTTTTCTTGCGCTATAAATGTTCCACGGAGCATTTTGAATTATATTTGGCCCTTATCTCTGCAGATAGTTGCAGTTTTTCTTCACTAAAACCTTTTAGTTGATGAACAAACACATGATGGTCAGGCAGGGTAAAACATGCCTTGCAGTTGTGCCCAGTGATGTCCATTATGGAAGTTTTAACTCCTCCTTTCAGCTGGTAGTATTAGAAACAAATGTGGCTGTTGCTGGAGCTTCTTGTTTAGGGAGAAATAAAAGCTGAAGTAGCACTGTCTTCAAAGTAAAGCTGCTAGCAACAGGCTATTTTGAAGCCTTTCCCTCTTGTACATCTTTAAATGAAAATGAGAAATGATTTCCCAGTTGTACTCAGAGATATTTTAGGTAATGACAAGTGTGGATCAATAGATCTCATGCTTCACCCAGATCTCTTTAAAACTGCAAAAATAGAAAGCTGGAAAAATAATCTGCCTTTTTACTTCCTCTCCCACCAACACCCACAACAGTGGCCTGTGTTTCAGTGCTGAGATACTGGCTTCTGGAACTTCTGAGGAGGCATGACTTGGTCTGCTCTGGGCCTGATAGATACATATATATACCCATATACTATAGGTATAACTCCTGTAAAAGCAAATTAGAACACGTTGCCAAGGTTCTCAGAAGGTAGTTTGGTTGGCTGTAGTTTTAATCTTCCCTTTCACTTCAGAGCAGTTGAGTTTATAAACGATTTATGCTGTGGTAGGCATCCTTACAGGTTCTGCTGGGTGAATGACCCCTGTCTATGGTAATGGGCTGTGGGAAGGGAGTTAAACGGCAGATGTAATGTTCCATCTCTTGTGCTTTTCTTTTGCTTGTGTATAAAAAAGCTTTTGATAATAATAGATCTGAAATGTTTTCAAGAAAAAGCTGTTGTTTGTATTTATATTTGTTTATAAAATGTGAATGTGGAAGAATACAGTTTCTGTACTGAATTAGTAATATAGTTGTGTTTTTCCTTTCAGAAAACCATAGCTAAAATTGCAACATGCTTGGAACTGAGAAGTGCAGCTTTACAGGTACAGCTCTTTTTTCCTATGTGACTTCATACTTCAGTGATAAGTAACTGTAGAGCTGTTGAAAGCTAGTTTAGGGTATTCAGACATAGCCAGAACTTCTGAAAACAGAGTGAGCAAACTGCTGAGCCCTTGGACTTTCCAGATTGTCACTGTGATTCCCCAGGTGGCTGCCTTAAAACCTTTTTAAGTGCTTATATGAGTATGTATTGGGGTTTGTACAGGAATTTAACCACTGGTTTTGTGTCTTTGGTTCTTTGCCTTGTTTTCCTCCTTCAGAATGGATCAGTTTTGTCTTCCTGACCTGTGTGCAAGGGTAAAAAGATCTCCAGAGTGATCACTGCACTAATTCAGCTGCTTCACAAGTAATAATAGAGCATGAGGACAAATGTGTGTATAGAATAAAAATTACTTTTGTAACAGTCATGAAAATGGGCAGGTCTGTAGGCAGATGTGTGAAAGTAATGATTTAGAGGCTACTTCTTGGTCTCCTTTTTCTGGACTGAAAGTAGATGTCGTGGAAGTGAATTTCTTTTTCTCAACACAATCTTATCCCCAAAAGAAAAGGGAAGTGAGTCAAATTTCCAGAAGAGTGTGGATGGGGAGGGATGAATCAGCTGAAGCAATATTTGGTTTACTGCATTACCTCTTTACCAACAAAGAGTGGTGGCAGGCAAATTTTACATCAGGTTACTCACAGCAGTGCTCCTGAGTTCCTCATGTTGCCGTACAAGGTGCAGCAGCTATGTTGTGCTGCTGTCAGTTGCCCAAGAGGCTGGAGTATAGTGGTGATTTAGGCAGGATGCTGGAGCTGGACTGATGAGGTGGGCCTAAGCAGTCTTGAGGCTGTGCAGGGTTTGAAGGATTATTTGGGTAGCTTTACTTGTCTTTCTATTTTGATCTAACCTGGGGTGTTGGAGCAGCTTTGCACTTGGTCTGAATCACTGTGACAAGGGCAGACGTGTTCCATTGTGGGACATCTCAGAGCAACAGTAGAATATGCAGCAGTGTCATAACCTGCACAAGTGAAGAGATGATGTCTTGCAAGAGCAGTAACTAGCAGTAACTAGCAGTAACTAGAGGATTTTATAACCTTGTGTGAGGATACCAGAACTTCTCATCCACTTCACTTTGGCAAGTATTTTACTTGCTGAAATTTGTTATGGTTTCTTAGCAGAGATTAAAGTAGTTGAGTGTTTATCTTTCCCCATTCTTCTAATAGCATGGGTATAGCTGCTTTACTGTTCTTCTGGAGTCTTGCAGTAGGTCCCCAGTGGCATTTGGGCAAAATCAAGGGGAAAAAAAACTTAGGTCTTAAAGAAATATTGAAAACAATGGGTAATCTTAAGAGATGCCAAGGGTGCAATGACACAATAGGTAAGACCTGATCCTCTGCCTAAAAAAGGATGTCCTGTGTCAATCCGCTAACTTGCAGCACTTCTCTGATGACAGCTCTGCCACTTTTCATCTCAGAATAGGCTACTTGAGCTTTCCAAATTGCCAGTAATTACCTCAGAATAAAAGGTTACAGACTTCTCTGTGGAGTTAGTCAAACGGGCTCACTGAGAGGCAGACATGTGCTACAGACAGTGAGGAAATTGCATCCTCAGAGTTGGAGAAAGGAGAGATGGGAAGCCCTCTTCCATTTGCAGCAAGCTCTTAGCTGGGCGTTTTGTCAAGCTCATCCTATATACTGTACTTTCTACCAGTATTATGCTGTTGGACATGTCTTTTACTGTGAATGGTTCTGTTGGAGCATCACTTTGCAGTGCAGTCTTACAGCTGATCTTGCTTCAGAACAATCTGACTGGGGAAGAATTAAAACAAGTCCTCTGTCTTAATGTTCCTGTGTGTAGTGAGTATGAAAGAGTGAGTATGAAAGGTGCTTTAAAAGCATTTACCTTGCATTAGAGCTTGAAACATGGGATAGTTTTGTTCTCACTAAATGAGAAGTAATGTACTTTCTGACTCACCTGTGAACCTAGCCTGTGTTGAGGAGATGTTCGGGAGTCTTTAGGATGTAGCTTTGAAGTAATGTGATACACTTGAACAACAGAAGCACCTTGCATGCTTGTTCTAACATATGGGAGCTCTGTCTGAGGGGAAGATGCACACTAAGATCTAACTCTTTCTTTGTAATGTCCTAGTCCACCCAGTCACAGGATGAATTTAAGCTGGAGGATCTGAAGAAGTTGGAACCAAGTAAGTAGCATCTTTGTATTTTAAGTGAATGGCATTTATCATTACAGTGGAAAATACAACAGCAGCATGAATACCAACTGACCACAGTGTGGTTTGACAGTAATACTGGTTTATGTGTTTCTTCCAAATACCTGTTGCCATGTAGACAAAACCTGATGTATATCAAAGAATGTAATGTGGGTAAATTCGAAGTATAGTAGTCCTAATGTTTCAGATAATATATTCTCAAATCAGTAATTCTTTGGGTGCTGCTAGGTTTGCACAAAGTGGTAATTTCAGCTCTCAGTAGTACCGCACCATCAGCTGGGAAATCGACCTGCACGTTTCTTATTTGAACTGAATTTCAAGACTTTGTGGTCTTCTTCCCAGCAGCATGAAACTTGTTTTTTTGCATCTGAAAAGATTTAACTTGTGCTCTTGGCAGCCAATCACCCATCACCTACCACTGCCATGCCACCAGACTAACCAGGTTAAGAGGATGTGACTCAGTCTTTGAGGGGGTTTGTGTGATGCTGTTTTTTCCCAACTGATTCTTGGTCAGTTCTTGCTATGTCAATCCAGAAATAGCTTTTTCATGTAGGAAGTATCTATTTATCTGCTACATTTTCCTTTCCATAACACTGGCTGCTTTGTTCTCAAAGCATCCGTATGATCAGAACTTCCACCTCGTTATCAATATTATCCTGAATGTTAATGTTTCTGCAGTTCTGGGGGACCAGGACATGTGGAAAAGCTGCTTTCATGCTGGTAAAGCTCATTTTATTTTGCCTCTGTAACAATTGTAACACTAAGGGGGATGTTGGTGATAAATGTGGTGGGCAGGCAAGTGTTTCCGCTTCATGAATAAGCTGAGCTTCTCTGCACTTCCATTCTCTAAGTAACTGGCACAGGATCCCACAGGATCAAGAAGCAGGCATTGAACTGAGCTTCCTAATGTCTCTACCAAAACAGAGTCCAAATACTTTCAAACTATCCCCTGAAAACATAAAAGTATGTTACAAGATGGCTATGTCAGTGAAGGCCATAACTCAGGAAAGGGTTTAACAACGTGTTGGAAGTGTTAGGTCTTTCTCAGTATACATACTGCATGTCTGGCCTCTGCACCTCTGGTTTGGCATTATTTTGTATAGACACTCCTGCTCTCTGTTTTCAAAGTATTTAAGATGTTGTCATTATTTGATGACTGTGGATTTCAGACTCCATTGTGCACATGCCCTGCGAGTGACTGAATGATGGAAGGGGGAGATGTCATGTTTTAATTGATCAAACTGTTCTACAAATTGAAAGTGACTATTGAAGGCTTCAGTCAGAATTTATATTCTGCCAACAGACATCAAGCTTCCCTTGAAATGCTCCTTTTCTTAAAAGCCAGAATGTCTATTACAGAGCAACAGTCCTGTTGCTTCTCTTGCCCTCCATCAGAGAATTCATTGTTAGCTGTCAAAAAACCTGGTGAACAGTGTGAAGTGCATTCAGTCCATGCCTCATACAACAGGAAACTGTATTAAAACTGAGGCAGAGTGTGTGGCCATCGGTTTTCAAAGACACTGAGTTATTTTCCTTGGAGGAGAACGGGTGCTTCTACAACAACAATTGAACATTGATGCTCTTAATGCTGCTGTCTGACTGTGATTGTTCCAGCCTCTTTCTCTCTGAATCATGCCTTTGTTTTGTGGATTTTAAGTGTATCTTGAATGGAGTAAATCTTAATCAGGCCAACACCAATCTTCTCATAAAATACACTGTGAAGTGTTTTCATTTGTGTGTTGTCAATTTGCTCTTGTGTTCCAGTAGAAAAAGCTTAAAAATAAATCTGGGTTGGCAATGCAAAGAAGTGATTCCTTTGATAGGGCAGACCATTCTGTTAGGGTGGAATGAAAACAGCTATTCAGACAATTTGGCTTGTTTTAATTACTTTTGTGCCTGAAGCTGTCAAAATGCTCAGAAATTTGGTTTGGGTGGTGGTGTAACAACCACAGCCCTTAGTTTTATATATCTTGTGTTGTCAAGTTCTAACTTTTCCTATTAAGTTGCATTTCACACTGCTTGGAACGTGAAGCAGTTGGGTAGTTCTGTTTGTTTATAGGATTTGTCACTGAATCTTGTGTGCTAGAATAGAATATAGGAGGGTCTGTACATGCAAACAGTTCTTTTGAGACTACACTGTGTGAAATCATGGCTAACTCTGGATCCCAGAAATCCTGTTGTGAAAGCTTATACCAGTGTTGTTACAGATGGGTAGGCTGGGACGTGCCATGGGCCTGTGTTTGTGTGGATAACTCTAGGCACTAAGGTACTAGTTTCAAACTCAGTGTATCTGTGTTATAAGAGAAACAGATACTGGGTTGTTGTCATGGTTTAAGCCTGGCTGGCAACCCAGAACCATGCAGCTCCTCTCTCACTCCCCCCCCATCAGTCATTTTTCTCCTTCTTAGTAGCTGGTGCAGTGCTGTGTTTTTGACTTTCAGCCTGGGAACAGAGCTGATAACACCAATGTTTTTAGTTGTTGCTCAGTAATGTTTATTCTGACCAAGGACAGTTGTACTGGGGAGCCTGTATCTGACTTACTTTGTTTTGTCTATTTAAGAAAGAATAAATCAAGATATACAGGTATCATTTAGGCTGTCACTAAAACTGTAAGTGGACAGTGGTCTTGAGTTAGCATGTACTGGTGTTGATAATTTCAGTTAACATCTTTCAGGAGCTGATAAAATCAATGTGATGTTGTCCACGGCTGCTAAAGAACAGGCTGAAGAGCCTGCAGAACAGTATTTGAACTAGATTCCTGTTGGAAAAGCAACATAACTGGAGGCCACAGTGCTGGGATCTGCCCACTGGTTACACACATGGAGAACTCCTTGAATCACGTTCTCAGCAGCAGAACAGAGGGGAAGTGCTCTTTCTCCCAGAAGTGATGTGTGGTTTTAAAACAAAAGGCAAAAAAGCCCAAACCAACCTCTTAACACTTGGGTGTCTTACACAGCATTGGAAGGGAGATTCCTGTTCTCTGTAATCTAATGTTTTTTTTTCTGTAATCTGGTTATTTTTATTTAAACCAGCTGAAACTCTCCCCTGTGATACATGCAGAAGATTTTCCTTTTCTCAAAGGAAGATTGTTACGTTGCTTTTTTATTGCTTTGCTTTTCCTTAGTGACTTTAAACAAGCATTTCACCAGGCTGAGTGCTGTAGATCCACTTCTTACCATGTTGATTTTTAAAGCAGCACTTTAGTAAATCACTGTATAACAACTTGGCAAAATGATTTGCTATTGGTGATGACACAGAGTCAAAGCCCCTTTAATAACATGATCCACAGCTTTCTGTGGCAAAAGGCAGGAGATTCTGGATGGTGTTTCCAGAAGCGTTTCCGAGCATCCCCTCCATTACCAAGCCCAAGAGATGCCCGAAAGCAGCAGCTCCCGTGGGCAGGGCGGGTACCAAGACCCGTGTGCAGGGCTTGGCTCCGTGGCAAGAGGGTGGATGCTCAGCAATGCCTCCGGGCAGCAGCAGCAAGAATTTAGGTGCTGTAAAAACTTTTCCTCTTTTCCTGCGCTCAGTGGAGTATTTTATGCCCTCTAGTGATGGCTGAAATGTATTACTGGAAGGTTTTACTCGGTGGCGGCTCATTCACGTAGAGAGAGAATCTGTTTGCTGGGAAGAGAGGAACGTAGTGCTTACCGACCTTTGGAAGATGGGAGGAGAACTACTGTGATTTCTATTGCTTCTGTATATCGCGCCTGTGATCTGGAAGAGATCTCACTTTACTGAGATTTCGCTGCCTGGGTTTCACTTTCTGTCTCTGCTCTGATGCAGCTTTCCAAGAGCTGGGGAATTCTGAGTAATAAAAATCCCCTTCTTTCCCTGGACCTCAGCTGTGCTGGAAGGTGACTGGCTGCTATTAGTCGGCTGCTTTTCTGTTGGGAAGTGGCTGTGATTCTTGGCCACCATGTTGAGATCTGCAGTACCAGTTCCTCAGAGCAGAAGTCTTTAGAGAGAGAAAGAGATTTGGCATCAGTTTTGTCTGTCACCTCTCTGACTGAAGGGAGCTTAAAGCTTTCTGTGTGTTCAGGTGTTGTGTCCAGCTGGAATCAGGCAGTACCTCTCAGGTAGTGGTATAGAAATCAGAAACAAAATCAGAATGAGCAAAGGCTGGAAAGACTTTCTGGATTCTTTATAGTTTCCTGGAGGGATTATTTATCCATTGTAGCATGCAGATGGTGTCTGGTAAATTACTGTGCTTAGCAAGACAGGCAGGAGCTCTCCTACACTGCCTGAACCGCAATGTGCAGAAGCACAGTGTACAGAGGGGCAGTGGCTGCTTCAGCATAACTGGTATTTAAGTACCTCTAGGTATTTGTGTAGTTTTAACATTGTTTGTTCTCACTCACTAGTCCGAAGGGGAGATTTTCTGTGCTCTGAGAGGGCTCATTGCAAAGCTCAGTGAGAGGACTCAGTTTTCTACCTGCTCTGCCCCTGCCCAGTCTGGGATATTCCTTCTCTGGTAGGAGAGTGCCTCTCCCTGCAGGTAAATGTGTAGGTCCTCGTGCTGTCATGAACTGCTGATTTCTTTCACGTGCTTTTACAAGTTTTGCCTTTACTCATCTCTTGGAAATAACAGCTTGAGTCCCAGTTGCTAAAACTTGAGTAAGTTTCCAATACAAATGGCAAAGTCATGCTCCACTGGGTGCTGGAGTCTATAATGGGTGTCTCTGGGGCTTGATGCTCAGATATTGCACTGTGTCTCTTCTAAATTTTGCCAATCTACAAAAATCCGAGGGCAGACCAAAAAGTAAAACCAGACCAAAATCCCCACTGACAAGCCTCCTTTTAAACCCCATTCATGAAAGAGTAGGAAATTTCAACTAAGCAATGTCTTACCAGCACAGTTGGACTCCACAAATCCAAGCCTATGTTCCTTGCCTACAGCACCACCACCCTCCCTTCAACAGCCACCAAAGATTGCTACCATTACATTACAGTTTTTCCATGCTTCTTTTGGTCATCTTGTTTAAGTGTGGTGGTGATTATGTGCTGGAGTCGCCATTAGCCTGTCTGAATGTTACTGTAGCACAGCTCTGGTCAGGACTGTACTGGTATTTACAATGGCAGATGGTGGGGTTTTGTATGATCTGAATATGTTTTTAAATGCCAATACTACTTGTGTGAAGATGCTGTGAGAATGGACGTAGCTGTGCAGAGCAGTAGAATTAATGCTTGTTTATGGGTTTGGATTCTTATTTTTTCCCCCCTCTTTGCAGTCTTAAAGAATATCCTCACTTACAATAAGGAGTTCCCCTTTGATGTTCAGCCTGTCCCACTCAGGTAAGAGGGAACTGGGTCACTTCATGTACAGATATGTGTCTGAATGGGAGCGTAGCCTGGGACCTAGTGTACACCTGAAACACTGCAATTCCCAGAGCCACCTACTTGCTGCACTGCTTTGGGTGATCTGGTTAATAAAAGTACTTTTGAATTGTGTCTGTCTGGGTACCACCAAAAATCACACCTATGCTTTTGGTAAAATCAGGATGTGGCACATTCCTACCTCTCTCTGTATTGTGTCTTGGGTTTAGACTGTGCTTTCTATTGGGCTGAGCTCCTGCATTCTCTCTCTGAGGCTGTGGGTACAGGTTAATAAGTATGAAATGACATTAAAGCATGTTGGCCCTGCTCTATATTCAGATACTGAGCTGTGAGTTGAAAGCCAGATGATGAATGATCTTTGGTCTCATCCTTCTTTCTCATGTTTTCCAGGAAGATTTTAGCACCTGGAGAAGAGGAACACTTGGAGTTTGAGGAGGATGATGAGGAAGGAGGAGCTGGAGCAGGGTCTCCAGACTCTTTTCCTGCTAGAGTTCCAGGTAGGGGCACTAGCCTTGCCATGCCAGCCTATGTCGCATGTGTAAGTTGTGTCTCTGAGAAGCCTGTTTCTCCACCTGTGATTTGCAAAGTTTGGGTGAGGAGCAGCAGGCTAATGTAAACTCTGATGCTGTATTAGAGAACCACAGAGGTGGCTCAGCAAACAATATCTTACTGCAGAACAGAGGTATGGATAACCTGTGAGGGTGGTACCATCTACCTCAAATAATTAGCTTTAATTCCTATTCAAACTCAGTATCCTAATTCTATGCACTTTCTTAACTGTGCTACATTAAGTGTTTCAAATGCGTTCAAATGTAAATTGTGGCACTGTTTCTTCTGCAAGGAGTATCACATTCTGCTAGAGAGGTGATAAGGTGTTGCTGGTTATTTCTATTGCATCCTCTGGTGAGACAATGGTTTAGACTAAAGCCAAGCTCTGAGAAGATAAAAGAGCTTTGATTTTGATAGCTGAAGCTCTTGCCAGTGTGAAAGCACTCATGGAACTGGGTATACCTACAGATCCCGAAGGTCTTCCTGTAACTTCAGCTTTTGACAGTTTACCAGGTAAAGGAGTGGGATGTTTCAACAAGGTTCTTTTGGTTGGTGTAGTTTCTTTGCAGAGAAACAAGTTTCCAGTTTCAGAGCAGGTTAGCAAACTTTGTATTTCAGGAAGGAGACAACAAGTAGGGAAACTAGTACTGGAATTATACTTGAAAGAGCTGGATTGGAAGAATGCTGCATTAATTATGCCTGGAGAAAGCATGTTTTTGTCCTTGGATCTGAGCCAAAGCATGCTATAGAATAAGATCCCTGCAGGCTGTACTGATGTAGGGATGCACAGCCTACGGTTGCACAGCCTACAGTTGTTTATGCTAAATTCACAAGTAGGCTGTAATATATTGTGATATTTTTTTGCTGACATTTACTATTTAAATCCTTGTTATTCACCATGATAAATCCATTTATGAAAATGGATTCTGTGTATCCAAAGTACAGCAGAGAGACTTTGAGTAGCTCTTGGTATAGTGGTGAAGGCTGTGATCGTTACCATAGTGTCAACAGTTACCTCTGTGCCACTCAGAGCTGTATGTATATAGTGGACATGGAATGTGTGTGCTTAAGAAAGGCTCTAAGTTGATGATAGATTGAATTTATAGTCACATCATTTTTCCAAGTGGTAGCTAAATCAGAAAGAGGAGAAGTTTGGGGCATTTACTTTCTTACAGAATTATTCCTCAGTAAGACCATGCTTTTAAGGGAAAGTGAGAGCAGTGCCAGAACTTACTGATATTTTACATTGTCATCTACTTAATAGACTGCAAATCTAACCTTTCTGTTGTTGTTTTTTTACATTAAGGTAGATTTCCCCATAGCTACAATAATTCAAACTGTAAGGAGGTCTTGTACTACTTGAACACAGATCTCATTTTCCCACTGAGTGTAAATGAATGTGGTATTTCCTTACCTTACTGGAGGTTGGTCTGTTGCTCTTTCTCTGGGTTATAAGGGTTAAACAAAAGCAGTTTGCAGCTCTCTAGGGTGAGCCTTATGAGTCAAGTGGCCTTTCCATGTTGAATTGATAGAACTGTGTTCACTCTTTGCTTCTATATGCCTTTAATCCATAGTGCATAACTATTGTCTAACTGATCATGGTCTTGTCTTCTACATGCATGGCTTCATCGTTATCACATTGCACCATTCATCTAACCCAGGAGCCAATGAAGGTATGAAAACCTTTTAGTATATACAGTTATTTCTGTGATCATATTTATGTAGCTGTAGTGTTCTTCATTCAGCTCTTAGTTTCAACCCTCAAGATACAATCCTTAGTAACATTCCTAGTACATCTGTGGTGTTGGCATCTAGGTGTTGATTTGCGTTTGCTGTGTGTACCAGAAAGAGGGATGGTCATGTTCATTGAGCCACCTTTCATAGCTCTCTAGAAGTTCTACTCTGCTCATAAAGACAGCCTGACTTGCAGTGTAGCCAAAGGTAGGTGTAGCTAGATTTTCTTTAGTGGAACACACATTTTATGGGAAATCTGACACAAAGAGTACTTCTGTAGTTAGACATCTGAGCTGTGCAGACCTGAACTGACCAATGGCTTGTTGCCTCTAACAGCAAAGGTTTCCTGCCTTTCTCCTGGATATATACTTCTTTATTCCAGTGCTGTGCCGGCAGTGGATCCTTCTGTGAACCATTTCCATTTGTGAATCCAGCAGGAGACTTGTCACTTTTTCCCCTTTCTGTGAATCGGCCTTTGGGAAGGGAGAGACTGAACTCAGCCTACGTTGGTGGCTGTTGGCTCAGCTCACCTTTGTGTATCTGAAATGCACTCATAGGAGGTCACTCACTTCGCTTGTAGATGCTCCCTTTCCCCACTGGCAGTGATGCCCTGTGGTTTTGTCTGAGGTGGTTGGCAGTTTGCTCATGAAAGCCTCAGTGTGAGCCTGCTGAAGGTGAGTGGGCCCAGGCTGTGGTGGCAGCCTGGCAGTGTGTTGCCCAGCCCTAGCACAGTTATGTCATAGGGAGTTACTATCAGCCGGTGGCTCCTCTGTGGAGTGACTACAGAAGCTTCAGCAAAAGACCTGCTTGGGTGGTTGTGGCTTACATGAGGCAGGCTACGGTCCTTGGTCTGTTGCTGGCTTGGGTGCTCCTCCTGCTGAGGCAGAGAGGAAACTGTGTTCCTTGGAGACCATCTGTCCTTCTGTTCCCTTACCAGCTGGAAGTGAGCTGGACTTTTCTGTTTGTTGCAACTCTGCAATTTCACACATTCTGGAAAGCATTTTTCAAGAACAGAAGAACTTCTGCCACTGTTTTTTATAATAGATGCCAGTCTGATGCATCTTTCAAATGATTTCTCTGCCAAGTATCCCATCACTTAGTCCTTTGAAGTGATGGATAGGAAAACTGAAGGGTACAGTTGTTCTTCGCTCTTGGGGGCATACTGCTTTTAGGAGACAACAGAAAGATGGCAGAGCAGAGAGTTTTGTGCCTACAAGGACAGGTTTGCTTCTACCTTCATTTAGATTGAAATAAGAACAACTCTGTCTTTGAATATCTGGTCAAGAGAGACAGCAGGGTTAACTGGAGTGTGGATGCTGCTTTGCAGAAGTGAGTGCTCTCTAGTAAGTTTCCCTTCTAACATTTCTCATTCTACAGTCAGAAGCCTGTCTCATTACTTCAGAATGGTGGGTCAAATTCTGCCATGATATGTTGTGGTGTGTCTGCAGTTGCAGTAGCTTGGAGGTTGTGAGCCTGCTAGCAGCCAAGATAGGGAATACAGACATGTACTACATCATAGGTGTGAATTCAAGCCTTGCTGGTGATCCTGAAGGAGGGACTGGATGTAGGAATGCTCACAAAATCTTGCTGAAGTTGTGGCTCTACTTCCAAGTGCAGAATACACGGTCCCCTCTTGCAAAGCCAGTCTCTCATACAGGACAGAAACTCCTTGCTGCTTCAGTTCGTCAAGCAGATCAAGAGGGGAAAAAAAATACCAAGAAAAACCCATATTGGACTTGTCAAAGGAAACTATTACTTTGATTCTCAAGCCTTGGAATAACGTTTATTTTGTAATTAGAAAACCAAAGCTTTAAATCAAACTCACTTTTGAGTCTAAGCATTTTCTGACTTGGTGCTTATTCATCTCATACTGGACAGAGGCCTGAAGCTTGCCAGTTGTCATTAAAAGCAGCATGAAAAAACCCACTCCATTGTTGATGACAATCTGATGGCTTTTAATGAACAGTTTGGCTTTCTTGCCAGCTCCACACTCTTCCTCAGTGCTGTGTGGATGATTTATGCTGATCACGAAGCGTTGATACTAAATGTTCCTGATGCAGAGCTGGGAGCACCTTCCTTAAGGCAGAAGGGAACTCAGGAGGTGCAAATGCTCTTTATTCCTCATTTTTCTTTAAGTAGAGGACAGGAGAACTTGAGTAATTAAGAATTTCTGTTCTGGTTCCCTTCTGTCCAATGGGATTTGCAGCAATGCCATTTTCCTCCTTACTCTCCCAGGCTAAACCAAGCTATGTTCAGTGGGGTGGGACTCCTGATTAAGTGTCTGAACTTCCTGCAACTGTAGATTGAATCCAGCCTTCCCAATTTAATCCTTGAAACTACATGAAGTGAGCTCCATGAATGAGTTATTCTGCGTGAGAGCAGGAAAGAACACTTGAAACAAAGCTACTCTCTGTTCTTATGCATTAAGTTGTTGTGAATTCATTTGACTTGTGGCAGTTCTGTTTTGTTGGTTTTGGTGTGGGCTTCGAAACCTGTCAAAAGCTGTACAGACTTTCCTGTAGTACTGTGTACTCTTGGGATATGAATCCTTGGGCTTTGAACCTCCTACAGAGCACAGCCTCTTCCATGAGAGCTGGTGGGATAAGCAAAGCCTCTGCTGTAAGATGACACAAAGGGTTAATAATTAATAACACTACTACTACTTTGCTCTTTGCAGGTACTTTATTACCCAGATTGCCATCTGAACCCGGGATGACATTACTCACCATAAACATAGAGAAAATCGGTCTGAAAGATGCTGGGCAGTGTATTGATCCTTACATCACTGTCAGTGTGAAGGGTAATGATTTCTGTTTCTTGCTCCTCATTTCTGCTTTGGAGGGAGTGTGTTTTCTAAAAGCTGTATTGATTTTTCAACCTGCTGGGAGAAATACTCCCTGGTACTTGCATTTCCTGTTGTGGGCTTAAGGCTTCTGCTTTAATCAAGAGAGGAGACATTCTGTAGTTGAGAGATCCTGGGAGGTGAATCCCTGCAGCAAACACATTAAGCTGTGCGCTCTGGTGTGCATTCACTGTGCAGGGAGCTGAGCATCAGTGACTCTTCACCAGTGACAGAAGCACTGTACTCCTCTATTCCAGCTTCTTCAGCTGACTATTAAGCAGAGATCTGTTTGGACTGCTTGTACTCCCCAACCAAATACTGGGCTTTCTGGAACCACAGCCCACTGACTCCATTTTTGCTCTGGTATTGAACTAATTTTTAGTAAAACAAAAATCATCTTACCAAGGCTTAAGGTTTAGAGGAATGGGTATGAAGCAAAGCTTGCAAGTGAGATAACGTATAACATTTGCTTTAGCCTTGGCAGTGGAATATTTCAGCCAAAGCCTGGTGGGCTAAGAGCCTCCCCCTCTGAGAGCCTCCTCGACTGACAAGAGTGAGAAAGAACCTCTCTGTCAGTCCATGATAGACAACATTAGGATTTCTCACTCTTTCACATGACAGCTTTTGCTTGAGGCTGAGATTGTTGGGATTCAGGCTCTTTCTAGTGAGATCATCTGCCTCTTCTCTTAGCAGGAAGCCCCTGTAGTCAGAACTGCTTTCCATACCCTGCCCTGCTTGACTTCTGCTTATCTGTAGTCTTTTAAGGTATATGATTTTTTTGCTTATCATATAGAAATCTGTAGCTGAGCCAACAGCCTCTTGCTATTTTCAGCTGCCATAGTGACCTTGTACGTGTCCTCTTTCAGCGTGCTACTGAATACCAAATGTCAGGATAAAATACTTGTTAGATGTGTGATCAAGTGCTTCCTCCAGCAAACAAGCTCTTTGGCAGAAGCAAGGGTCACACGGTATTGGATGTCTCTTGAATCCCAGTGGTGTTCTCAAGTATTACCTACCCAAATACACAGATAGAAAGATGTAATCCTGTTTTCTCTGATTCTCCCTGGACCTTTGAGGAATTCACCTGGTTGGGGTGGAAGATGAAGCATGACTCTTACTTCTCCCCCAGAAGATACAACTGCCGTCTTGTGTTTTCTGCCTTGGAAACATGCAATATTTCTTTGTTTATGCTGCATTGCCTAAGGTTTGCTGCATTGCATTTAGGTTTTGTAACTGTTCTTTGGGCTCCATTTCTCTAGTCACTTGTGGATCTTGCTTTGCCTCTTGTATGCCAGAGAGCCGAGGGATGGGCGACTTCAGTGGTGGGGATGGCTACATGGGCGTGGGTTTAATCAAATGTAATTCTTCCATGCTGAGTTTCTCTTGGCCAACAGGAAAGTACCAGCCCCCTGACAGGGCTTTAGCATTGTATCCTGGAACTCATCAGAACTTGTAACACAAGCATTCGGTGTTCCTTGCTGCTGGAGTGTTTGTCTGTCTTAACTTATTACATGTCGTTAAAACTGGTGCTTGCCTTCAGGGCTAGCTCTCCTTTCTGGAGCTAAGGCAGACTGTATTGCCAGGCTTACTTTCCCAACAAGTCTTTCTGTTAACTTGTGGTGCTCTATTTGCAACCTCCTATAAATGATGGCTGCCATTAAGACTGGTGACTTTTTATACTTTATTTTTTGAGATTTTTGGTGAGGAAGAGTAACTCTGAAAAGTCTTTTCTTCCTATCAGGAGTCTGAGGGCACTTAGTAACTGTTTTCCTTCATTCTATACCAGGCTGCTCCTCTACAGGCCTGGGGAGAGGTCTGTTCCTGATGCCACACTGGTGGTCCCAGCCTACTCCTGGGACAAAGTGCATCAGTGGTGCTCCATGGCCCCAGCTTGTACCCCAAGCACACTGCACGTGTTCTGTACTTAGGAGGCTTGGCCTTGTCATTAGCAGCTTTGCTCCACCTGGGGGAAAGGGATCACTAGCGAGAGAAGGAGTAAGAGGACAAATGTACTTGTGTAAACAATGGAGGCTTCTTGAAAAACAATGTTATCTGTGGTGGCTGTGCCCACACAATACAACCTGTGGCCGTCGGTGGAGTCCAGCCGTGGCCCCAGCATGCCTCTGCCAGTACAGAAACCAAGAGGAGTTCTGCATGTTGAGTCCAGGCAGCTCTGCTGGGTGTGCACATCGTGTCTGAGCTGTGCCTGCAGATCCTGTGTGCAGGGCAGCCTTTGGTGCTTATCTGTTCTAGCTTTCTGGTGCAGAAAGAAATGTGCTTTTAAAAATGAAAAGAGGAATAATTCCAAGCTTTCATCTTAGATATTATCAGAACTTTACTTGTTTTCATGTTGCAATCCAAAAGAAAACTCACTTGCTGAAGGAGCAGGATTGCCCCTTTCCTGAGCTTAGCGAGAAAATCCAGATGGGCATGAACTTTTTGTGGCAGCACAAGGAGTGATTTATAAATGTTTTAAAGCAGTAGCTTGAAGTTGAAGAAGCTTCTGCCATTCTCACGCTGTTTCTTTCCTGCAGATTTGAATGGGATAGATCTGACTCCTGTGCAAGACACTCCTGTGGCTGTGAGGAAGGAGGACATGTATGTCCATTTTAACGTGGACATCGAGATTCAGAAACACATTGAAAGACTAACAAAAGGTATGTGGCATCGGAGACCAGGCACAGGGTCCAGGAGCTTTGCAGGCATAGACAGACAGCAGCCTGCTCCTGATCTAATAACCAGGCTGTGCCTGAGCTGCTGCTGCAGGGCTCTAGATCCAGACAAGGATAAAAATAGACCTTTGCATCCTGTTTCTTGCAAGTTGGTCACTGTGATGACTTGCAGACAGGGGAGGAATGAAGAAAGATAAATGCAGCAGTCTGCTTTACTCCAGATACTTGAGCTGCCTTATCACCTTCTTAGCCATTGGAAATACTGTTACCTGGATATGAGTCATTGAGTGAAGAGCAGAAGCTCTTGTGAGCCTTCTAAGAACATGGTACAGCTTTTGAATAAATAACACAAGTACTGGACATAATTCCCTCCAGTGTATGTAGAGCATCTTAATGGCAAGCTAATGGCCCTAATTGCTAACTTCTCTGTTAAACCATTTTTCTCTCTAGGTGCAGCTATTTTCTTTGAATTCAAACACTACAAGCCTAAGAAAAGGTTTACCAGCACCAAGTGCTTTGCTTTCATGGAGATGGATGAAATTAAACCTGGGGCAATTGTTATAGAACTGTAAGTGATTTGTGATTATAGATGCCAATGACAGAGGAAATGACCTAGACCTCAGTTACAATGTGTGGCTCGTTGCATTCTTGGAGTCGTTAGATGGACTTCCATAAGGAATATTCTGCTTTTAATAAAGAAGGGAAGATAAAATGTTTTTAGGCAAATAAAGTGGCTGGAGGCCCTTCTCAAGCTAGACTTTTTCCAAATAAAATGCTGGTGTTTGTAACTACATTTTCGATGAAGTTAACAAATTCTGCATGGCACACTTTCATTTTGACCTTAACTTGAGCATCAGTCAGCTGTAGGTAAAGAAAATCAACTCGCACAGTCTTTTGGTACAGAACTGCTGTAGAGGAAATCTGATTTGAGACTTGGGACACTGCTCTGTAGCTGAATGTTATGAACATTTCAAAGCACTGTTGGGTACACAAACCAATAGATGAGGCAGTTACATGGCTGTGATGTGCATCCTGCCCTTGCTGTGTGGCCGAAGGGCTTGAGTGTGTGTGGGAAGTTTGCAGTTCTGGGTGCTCAGGCTGTGCAAGCAGGAGGGCTTCGTTTGAAAACAGAAATCTTTGGTTTGTTAAAAGAAGAATCTGGAGAAAAGAGTGGTTTTGAGTGTCTCCTTTTAAGCTGCTCACTATTGTAGCTTCCAGTGAGTCTTGTCAGATGTATTTAAAAGATTAAGGTAATAAGATCTGTACAGGAGGCACTTTTCATCTCCCCTCGCAGCCAGATTTAACTCACTTTCTTGTGGTTACAGGTACAAAAAACCCACTGACTTTAAAAGGAAGAAACTGCAGCTGTTGACCAAGAAACCACTTTACCTTCACCTCCATCAAACACTGCACAAGGAATGACCCGCCCTAGTCATGAGACTTCTGTGAACTGCACCACCGGTCGCGGTAGCTGTGTGTAGTAGCCTTCGCAGGGCAGGAGAATGACTAATCATGCCAGTAGGTCAGAAGGGACCATCACACACTGCACAGTACTACTTCAGGGTCAGGGGCAAGCCACCCTTCCAGTGCAAGATTAGTTTCTCAGTATCTTCCAGATCCAGGTTTTTCTGAGAGCCCTGAAATATTTGACTGCTTTTCCTAATTTTTGCTGTTTATCACTTTTTATCTTAACCGTTATCCTTTTGCCTCAAACTCCACCTAAGGATGGAGACTGCCCCTTTGCCAAACCTGTAGCAATAAAGATGTGGCAGGCCTACTAACTGTTTACACTTGCTGTGCTATTGTAGTTCCTCTCATCTGCATTTTGGAGTCCTCTGTAGTGGGCTGGGTGGGAGAAGACCAAAAGGAAGGTGAGGTGGGGTGGGAAAAGGAGCTTGAGGTGCTGCACGTGCTTAAAGATGAGAGAGAGGAGGACGCTGGTCCAAGTGGGGTGGCCACAGAGGAGCTCCACAGGCAGTGGTTCTGCTTTGGTCAGGCCAGGAGGACAACTGCAGATGAGAACAAACAACTGCAATTGAACAGCCTTGCCTGATCCACTCGTGCTGAGCTCTGGGTACCTGTTACAGTCCTTTAATTCACTGTTACTCCCTCATAGAGCTGATTCTTCTGTATCTCGTCACAGATTTTCAAAGGTAGTGGGGGATGGAGAGAGGCGGTCACCAGTTCAGTGCCAGCAGCAGAGCTTTTTGGTACAGCAGGCCTGGCTGGCATGTGGTCCCACCTTTGACATGAAACTGCTGTTCTTGGAGAAACTGTATGCAGTTTTCTGCCTGTTTTGTGCAAGTCTGGAAACTTAACTCTAAAAATTACCTTTTAATGGAAGTAGACAGGATTATCATTTATTTTCTGTATTTGGGATTTGGTGTGTAATAAGCTGCAGGACATTGGCTTATTATGGCACACTTGCATTCAGTTTTTGACCTAATAAAGGGACAGAAGTAGAACCCAGTCAAATCTTTCCTATATTTGTGTGGATATTTAATACAGTAAGGTTTGAAATACTTCTTGCATATCTAACTAGTGCCTAAATACTCTGCTGTGCTAACTGAAGACCCAGCCCCCAGAATAGTGTCCATTATTGGGTTTATTTTCAAGTTTGGATGCAGCTGCATCACCAGTTCCTCTTTTCTGTCCTGTAATCCTGAGGTGTTACATGATGCTTTAATGGAAGGGATGTTACTTTTCCTTGTGGTATTTGTCTGGCTGCAGGCAAGTGTTCAGCAGTTTTGCCTTTACCCTATTGATTAGGATAAAAAGCTATTTTTGAATGTCCTAATCTTGCCTTCCCCCTGTTCTGGTATAACTAGGGCTGATGTTAGTTCGGTGTGATGACACAAGTCAGCAACACTTCCTCAAATCCCACTACTGGCTGGAAGGGGGCAAAAAGTGCAATTGAATTTTCCTGTTTACGGGTCTTTTACAATACCCCAATGGTGTTACATCAGATACATTGAATATCAAGCCCTGAAATGCTATCGCTCCGAGTTATGGAAGTACCTCTGAATGCAGAGTTGTGGATACCGGACAAAAGGAGGATACCTACCTTCCTAAAAAAGTAAGATCATCCTTTGAACCCTGCAAAAAGATGGAGAGGAGCATTGGGCTGTGGTGGCAAATAAATCCCAGCTTGATCAGCAGCTGAAGTGTTCCCTGGTTTTAGGTCTCTCTGACCTTCAAAGAAGCTGCAGCATGGAGTGTCCCTGCAGTGTGTTCAGGCCATCTTCTCAGTAAGGGTTGATGCTGCGGCTCCATCTGGCTCTGCTGTTCCTCCATGTCTGCTGGTGCTGCTCCTGGCCGGCAGGTCCTGTGTCCCCAGGAGCCACAGCACCTGGGGTAGGCAAGGGAGGGGACACTGAACATCACCCAGCTTGGTCCTGGGCAAGGAGCCACCACAGAAACAGAACACTTGCGCTTGAATTGCAAACCCCTTGTTCCAGCTGCTCACCTCTTCCCAGCTTGTAGATGTATGTATTAACTCCTGTTATAGCAAATGGCAACTGAAGTATTTCTGTTAAATACACAAGTAGAGCTTTGTATTTAACTAATTGTGAACCGATGGCTGTAGAGTGTGAAATACCATTTTTAAAGCTGCTTCTATCCTTAGCGCTTTTTTCCATGACCTTTCTTTTACCAACAAGACTACTTCCTGCTCCCACCACCACCTCCTGCATTGCTTTATGCTGCAGTGACCTTCTACCTCGTCTTTCACCTCAAATCTAAAGCTTAGTACTTGTACTGTAAGAATGCAACACCGAGATGGTGAGGTTAAAGGCTGCTTGTGCTCTGGCAGTAAAGCTGTGACAGCCTTTCAGCGGTGTTGGTTATTATTCCAAGTTGGTTTTCCCCTTTTTTTTTTCTTCCCTAAAGCTTACTTCAGTACAGAGCACTTCTGAAAAACCTCAGAGTTAGATAAGCCTTGTATCAACTAACATTCAGGGACTTTTTGAGCATCTACAAACACAGGGTGTGCTGTTAAAGCTATTTTGTGTATGCAAACCCATTTAAAGCACTACAGCTGAATACAGCTCATACACACTCCACTTAAAAAAGGAAAGAAAACAGAAGTAGCTCTCTGTAAGTAAAAAGGCTGTAAAAGTACAGACTTACTGCTAAGGAAACTGAATTGAGCTTAAATACTAAGTTAAAAGGAAAACTTATCTGTCAAACCATGCTTAATGCTGCAAGCCAGTCATGAAAGCCAAAAGCCACCATGAAATTTCGTAGTGTCCGGAACCCTGGAGCATTTGGCTGCACTTCCAAACTCGCTCCACAACATGGTAAAGATTTGCAGCTCTGCACTGCCCTTCAGCTGAGGAGGGAGAGATGCCCCCCCCATTGTCCTCATTCACCTGAAGCAAGACCAGTTTGGGGCGAGTGTAACACAGTCATTATAGCCTCACAGCAGCGGCCGTTGTTCAGTCTTGATTCAAATCCCTGGTTCCATTACTGAACTAATATCATTCCTGGACAAAAACCGGCACTGAACGAAAGCCTTCAGGGTTTAGCAAAAGGAATTTTGCTTTTTATTATGACCTTCCTTTGCCTACAGTGTCATCTGTGCTTCTGAGCTCAGACCAGGCATCTTTTTTTCCCCTCTTAAAAAAGCCCAAACAGACCTCACAGTCCTGATGTAAACCCCTGGCCTACCCCAACTGCAGCTCAATGATGTGGTGGAGAAGGCAGGTAGGATAGCATTTTACTTAAAAAATTATTTCCACAGGAAATGATTTGATTTACATTTTGTCACAGAATTAGTTCATTCACCAACTGGTTACAGAGGCTACATTTAATTAAAACTAGCCACACAGGTACTTCCTTTCTATTGCACGTTTAGAGGAGGTTCAAGTCCATCACAAAAAGGTTCTTGCAGGCCAAGAGGATGGATGAGTTTAAGGTGATCATAAATGCACATGTCTGTAGCAACTGGATAAAAATTAATCCTGCAAAAGCCAAAATATACTGAAATGAGACAAATGGCCTTGACCAGAGAGCCATTTCCTAAAATCCTGACTGCAGGAAGTGCGCTCCGAGTCCCGTTCTGCTGAGCTGCTGCCCGGGCGCTGCGTCAGGGGTTCTGCGCTGGAGGCTGTGCATAGTCCTTTGGGGCTGCAGGGCAGTCCCTGGCTCCCGAGGGAGGCAAGTCTCTGCTGGGAGAAGGTGCATAGTCTCTGGAGCCAGGCGGGGGGAGCCGTGGGCCTGGAGGATAATCTCGTGGGCCAGGAGGACCTAGGGGTCGAAAAGGAGGGTGCCCACGTCCGTAGCCCCTGGGGTCCGGAGGCGGCAGGAGTGGGCCAGGAGGCAGATCTCTCATCCCTAAGGGTGGGCCAGGTAAGAAATCTCTTGCAGCTGGAGGTGGCAAGGGAGCACCACGAACTGGAAGGGAAGGAAAAGACAGAGTTAAACAAAAATCTTTAACCTAAGCAGTGAAGCTCCAGACTCATTCCTCATTTCTTCATTTTCCAGAGCAGCTCTGGAATGGGTCGCCGTCACATGCAGACTTCACAGGCCGTGAATTATATTCCAGCAACTGTTGGCTGCTGGTTTCTCCTTTAGACTCAACAAGGAATACCTTAGCACTAAGGAGCCTGGAAAAGCTCGCTTGTCCCAGCTTACTGGGCAAGGCAGCAGACCCCATGAAGCATGAGGATGGCAGGTCTCAGCTCTGCAGAAGGCTCCCAAGGAGCACAGTGGGCTTGAGTTTCAGCACACAGCAATGTGACCGTACCTAAGGGCACAGGGAGAGGGCGAGGCCCAAAGTGCCCACGGAGGGGAGCCGGCGGCGGTCCATAGCGAACAGGCGGTGGAGGTGGAGGTCCCATCGCTGGGGAGGTCATGATAGGTGTCGCAGGGAAAGAAGGTGGGCCTTTGGTACTGGCATTAGCCTGTGTGAGATGAGGTTATACCTGAGTGTGTTACTGCACCAGAGAAGCATGGACAGTGCTGCACACCAAAACCACTCACCCAAAGGACAAGAGATGGAAGAGAGAGAAAGAAGAAAACTGCACACCCCCACAACACATTAAACAGGGAAAGTTGCTGCACCATTGTCCCTTCACCAAGAGCACTGCTTGCGCTACCTAGGAGTGCCTAGTGTACCGTCTGAGATGACAGGTTTTCTTTAGCTCAAGTTGTCCTAAAGAAAAATTTGATCCCTTTTGAAGGGTCCTCAGCAGACACCCCTTCGGAAAAGGGCCTGGCACCTGGAATTACATATGGAATTGTGCTTAAATAACACAGTTAAGTCAGCTGCTTCGGATTATTGGTGTAGTCACTCCAAAGTGTTTGCCTGCAGTCCTTAACAAGAAAGATTTCATTTCCATAATTCCATGAAAACCATGAGTTTACACTCATTAGAGAAAACTTTTGAGACAGAAGTGTAAGCCCTGGGTTAGTTTTGTAGAGCATTCTGTTATTTAGCAGCTCAGAACACCAAGCCTGTTATTCCTCTCCATCAAAGCAGAGTAACACCATGTGCAGCCTCTGAATACTCACTGTAGCTGGTTCAAGAGATGAAGGTGAATCAGCAGCTGCCCAGGGGGCTTCAGACTCTTTGGGAGAGGATTGCTTTTGGGGTTTTTTGGACAGCAAATAAGGATAGTGACAGGATATGGACAAGACAGAAGATGATACAGTTAAAGAAGAAGCAGGAAGTACAGCAAATCATGTCTTAGAAACACTTCCTGAAGGTCAGGGTGGTTTCAGCTTACCAATCCATCCATTGCTGAGGAAGGGGAGGAGGTTCTTGGCCCACTGCTGATGAGGGATGCTACAGCAGGCCCAAGGTCTGCAAAGAGAGACACAATGCATGTCCTGCCACACTTGGGGTAAGGAGCTTTTAATTTACATTTAGAAAGTGAAAGACTAGTGAATAAGTTGAGTTGGATGCAAGTCCCATGTAACTTACCCGGAACAGACATCCTTCCAGCTAACTCTGGTGGCCTTCGTGGAGCAGGGGGACCATCTACCACTGTACCTTAAGGGAAAAAAGGACCTAATCAATATATGCCTGAGCTATTTCTGCTTTTCCTGGGTCTGTAGCACAAAAGACAGCTATCACAGCAGGGAAGCCTCACTGCTTACCAAATTCACCTCTTGAGCCTTCCCTGCGAGGAGCAGAAAGGGGCCGGGCAGGAACTTCGATCATCTGTGTGGGTGATGGATTTCCTCCACTCACGGGTGATGGGCCAAAAGAGCCATCTCTGCTTAAGGGCCCTATGCCAAAGAATTAAAACCACTTGATTTCATTTTCTACACTATATCAAAGCCCTATTTTTCTAGGATATTCTGGTTCAAAGACCAAAGTTTTGGGAGAAAAAGCAGGATTTACCTCGCCGTGGTGGGACCTGGCGGTCAGGTCTGCCTGGAGTTGGCTTTACAATTAAAGGTCTTTGAAGCATGACGATTTTTTGGTTTACCTCTATTAATCTAATTAAAAAAAAAATAAAGCT